GCATGATGTATAACAGTTCAAACAAGTAATGAGATAGCAAAATATAGAGCTGCACTATTGTGCATTGCTTGTGACCTACATGCAGCCCATAAAGTTTGTGGATTTTTGAGTCATTCTTCTTCTCACGCTTGTTCAAAATGCATAGAATTTTTTCCATATAATGATATTTATCATAAAATTGATTACTCGGGGTTAAGTTTATTTCTTTGAGGTCTCATTCTGATCAAAAGAAGCATGGTTTGGAAGCTTTTAATGCCAGAACATTAACTGATCAAGACAAAATGGAACATGAGTATAGAGCAAGGTTTTCTGAGTTAATTTAGCTTCCTTATTTTGACTATGTTAGGATGACAATTATTGATCCTATGCATAATCTATTTACAGGAACAGCAAAGCACATTACCATAAATATCTGGTTAGATGGTGCCTTTTCCAAATTGAATAAAGCCCAACTTGAGAATATTTAGAAAGTAGTTGATTCTTTTAGTGTTCCATCATCAGTTGGCAGAATTCCTCACAAAATTGCAACCAATATGTCTTCCTTCACTGCTGATCTGTGGAAGAATTGGATTCTTCATTTTTCTCTTGTTGCACTGCATAAGGAAGTTACAAATGATGATTTTGAGTGCTGGAAAAGCTGAATGCATGCTCATGCATTTGCTCCCCTGCTCTATCAATTGAAAAGGCTGAATTGAGCCATGCACTTTTGATGGATTTTTCAGAAAAGTATGAGAAATTATATGGAAAGTCTTCAGTAACACCAATTATTCATTTGCATAGACATTAAAAGGATTGCATCCTAGACTATGGACCAGTTTACGGCTTTTGGCTCTTCTCCTTCTAAAGGTTTAATGGAATGCTTGGTAGCTACCATACATAACCAAAAGTCAGTTGAAATCCAACTAATGCGTAAATTTTTGGGCAACAATTCTATTACTACACTAGCAGAGACTGAGCTTTAAGAAGTACATCACTTTCCATAATTCTTGCACCATATGACAAACCGTGGAACTGCAGATACAACAATATATTTCTCTTTTCTTACTACAGTTGACATTGCTTCTGCTATTCTTTTACCATCAAATCCAATTCAGCCATCTCATGACTACTTAGCATCCACAGCCTTGCCAATCAATTCATGCCCACCATTTCGAAGGAAAAGCTTTTCTACTGATGATCTCCATATCTGCATCAATTTTTTCTGCCTTCATTCCTTACTTTGAAAATAATGGATCACAAAGCTCAATGTTTGAAAAATTTCAGTTTTTAAATTTTTGGGGAGAAAGAATAAATTTAAGAAGGAAGTCTCTTAGTTTCATAATTATTGCAAATTGGGTAAAGAATGGAGGTGTCATTAATAAAGACAACTCTAATATTTCTGGTAGAGCAGGAATTGTCAAATACTTTTTTCAACAAAGTGTTGTCACTAGTAGAGGAAGAGTACTAGTAGTAATGGCTTGTGTTGATTGGCTACAGCAACATCCTCATTGTCATTATTTTGTTGGGAGATCATGTTGAATTGTGGTGTCATGATTTGTATGAACCATTTGGGCCAGCTTCTTTCATTCCTGTAGCTCGTATTAAATCAGTCATCTACCTTTATTCTATGGGGTGCCGTTCGTGTCAAAACTACTTTTTTTAGAAATGTTTAAAATTTATGCTCAATTGCACGAGAATCTATGATTAAAGTAGTTGTTTAGCACTTACTGGATGCAGTGTTTAGCAGTGGATACAGTGTTTAGCAGTGGATGCAGTGTTTAGCTGTGGATGCAGTGTTTAGCAGTAGATGCAGTGTTAAGCAATGGAGGCAGTGTTTAGCAGTGGATGCAGTGTTCAGCAATTGAGCATCCTTTACAGAGTCAGTTTAGTTTACATTAGGGTGTGGCATCCTGTATATAAATGCAGTGGATGCAGTGTTTAGCAATGGAACATCCTTTACAGAGCCAGTTTAGTTTACATTAGGGTGTGGCATCCTGTATATGTGCCATGTCCATACACATGTCACATTCAATGTAAGACATGGCCAAACTACCCACAGAAGACATTGCTAAGGCAGTTTCAGGAGCTGTGTCTTCAGTTTTATCTAAAATGGAGGCTGATAAGAATAGCGATGATGAAGACTTTCAGGCCGAATGGAAGAGATTGAAACCCAGGATAAAGGAGGTTCAAATTGAAAGTAGTCGGAAAGGGCACGGTGGCCTTGGAGGGACACAGAAAGGATCACGAGACCCATTGCAAGTCAAGAGAAGAAAGCTTATTTTAAAAGAAGGAAGTTTGTAATTTTATTTTAGTTATCATTATACTAAGGATGGAGTTAATTTCTGACAACAGTAGTAATGATGATTTTGTGGTGAAGAAGGTACATATAAGAAATGATGAAGTGGAACAGCAGGACCTAGTTTTCGATAGTCAAAAGACAATAATGATTATATTGCCCTATGAATGCTGCATTAATTTTTTATAGCAGAAAATTATGTTAATCAATTGATGTTTGTTATTTTACCACTATTATATATTCCTTTTTTCATAGAGCAAAACCCACTCTGCCATCAATTTTTATTGGCAAGAATGCAGATGTTCAAAGTGACAAAGAGGCTTCTTAAGTATAATCACGACTGTTTGCCTGCCAAAATCTTATGGACAGTCAACAGTAATAAATATACCAATGCCTTATGTTGAATTAGAGTAGAATGTTTTGATTGGAAAGATAAAGTTAGACTCTAGTAAGTCAGAATAGGAGATATTTAGTGAAGTCTGATCCGTTTTTTGTGTATCAATGAATCTCAATCAGAACTTTCCTTTTCACGTTTTGCAGCCTATGGGTGTACCAAAAATAATAAAGTCCCTATTTACATATTCGCAAAGGAATCACTTCTTAAAGTTAGTGAACAATTATAATGCTTAAATTTACTAGAGTGTTCTCTTACTAGGTTAAAGTTATCTCTGAGTAGTGAAGAGGGTTCTCAAAATGAGTTGATACATTTAACTACTGAAATGACTATGCTATTGAATGCCACTGTGCCCACATACAATGATTAGAGACTTGGCAGCTATTTTTATTGATAATATTGCCAATGATTGTATGTGGGAATCCATAGATTGTCTGAATATGACAATATTATTAATGCCAATGATTGGGAAAGTAGCCCTACACCACATCTGGCTTCATCACTGACTCCTCTCCCATCTAGGTGTGTGATTGGCTTTTATTAGTCATATTTTACTTAATTTTAATTTTTTGGCTAAGATTTACCTGTCTTTGAATTTTTATCATTGCATAGAATAAACAAACTTCCATTTTATAGTGCAAGAGATGACTCTCCGAGGATAATTGTCAAAAGAAAGTATATTTTACAAGACACCCTTTACAAATTACGAAATGGTTTGGATGTCAGTGGACATATGGTATTACGAGTTGTATTTGTTGGGGAAGCAGCTGTGGATGAAAGGGGCCATTACGGGACTATTTCTACTTATGAAGTCGCAGTATATTTTGTGGTTCACCACATAACAAAGTACCACAGCACAATGTTTTAGAGCTACAGAAGAAAACTTTTTACTATATTGGAGTTTTGTTTGGACTTTCACTGATTCGTGGTGGGCCAGCAACACACTCTGCTGTAGCTGATTACATTGTTTATGGAGCCTCAAATGTGAAGGCTGGACCACTTGATATGGTTGATTTTGAATTAAGGGAAAAGATTCAAAAGGTATACTAACCTGTAATTGAATTTCAATATTATTTGTATTGTTAGATTCAGATTGCAAAATCTCTAAGCCAGTTAAAGCAGCTGCTTGATTCAGATGCCTATGGTTACGATATTAGCAATGTCAGCTTAAAAATTTAAACAGCTCAAATTTTAACAATTTTTTTTCCTTGGATATATGTTGGTAGAAGTGTTTCAAATTTAAGGTATGACTGCGAAAGGTACTGTGGCTGTTGAGTTATGGAACTTTTAGTTGCAGTGAAATCTCTGAATTCGTGTACACAATTTCCAATTAAGCGATGGTACCAATTTTTCATACTTTTACATTTAATTTTAATAAATCAAAAAATGACTGCTCATTCCAGATATTATGAAGATCGGACAGCTCTGCTCTAACTCCGAAAAAAACTGAAGTGAGGACATTTGATTCTGTAGTGTTAGACTAATGGATCACATTAGTTTAATGCTGTCTCAGTGCATTTTCTTCAAATTACAATTTTCAATTGATTTTTTTTCATTATCTAGTCCACATTTGTCATTAAGAATGTTTATTGTGTTTGGATTGTTGATGGGATGATGAAGGTGATGTGATGATGGAGGAAAATTGAAATTCAATTTAGCTGGGATTGATCAGATTGTAAACAAGAGCCTTGTTCAGGATAGTGATGGGCGATATATCGATTCTTTATCGATATAAACGATATTTTACGGAATCGATTTGAATCATTATCGAAATTTTTATGCAATTTTCATCGATCTATTGACCACGCCCATTTATTAAGGTTAAATAATTAATTTTAATAAGTAATTGCACTGTTGAACTGCAAGAAAGAAGCAACTGACCAGTTGTTAGCTCAGCCATAGATATTACACCCATTATTGTGGGTATAATACCTATGGCTCAGCCTACCCCAATCAGAAGAGAACCAAGCTCAAGAGCATGAAAATGATCTTCTCTCATGACAAGTACAGTTATATCTGTGCCAAAATCATTAGCCACACCCTTGACACACCTCCAAAATGAAGGTGTGGTTATCGTATTGTTAATAATCGATATTTCCTTTAAAAGTCCAATATCGATCATTATCGAAAATTAAGAAAATTGGCCATATCGCCCATCACTAGTTCAGGATTACCTAAATCTTGTAGGATTTGTCCATAATATTAGAAGAACTGTTACCAATTACCATTGAAATAAGTGACTGGAATTCTGAGAAATTTAATTTTATGTTCAATAACAATCAATATTAGGCTTCAAAAAGAGACTATATTAATATAACCAGTTGAGTTTCATGGCCGTTCAATTAAAAAAGAGAAGTTCATTAAGATGTTTCACAGTTTATGTTATGCCACACAATTAGCAAAAAAATTAAATATTAGTAATCAAGTTAAGACCTCGGTAAGAGACTAGTCAAGCACTACTCCATTTGTGATCTTGTGCACTGGTGTATGTGGACCACTTTGCCGGAGGGGCCATATGGGCGGACAGGAAATTGTGCATAAACTGCCCTAAATATTTAAAATGAACAGAAACCAAAATAAACGTATGATTAGACCTAAAGTAACTTACATTTTCACTGCGAACCTCAGGAAATCTGCACGGAGGAAGCAGGTAACAAGCAAAAATTGTGTGCCGAATTAAGCTATGCAGTTGTACGAATAATTAGAGAGAAATTTTTCTTAAAAAATACGGTATAGTGACATCGCTAACGATATAGGCATTACTACTCCATCAAAGCAAGTCTGTCTAGAAGATTGTGAGGCTATTGATTCTGCTATGTCCTTTTTATTATGGAGTACTGATAGTGAAGGCTGAGCTCGATGAAATTTTGTGTTGCCGTTGTGAGACACAAAATTCTTCAGTTAGTTCATAGTAGCGCTGCCAATATGAGGTCACTTTTTGTGTATGAGACCCGTCCACCTTTAACGGCTGATTATATGTTTGATCTGCTGGCGGCAAATTTTCTGATCTAGGCAGCACAGTGGCGGTTTTAAGGGAAGGCCTGGTGGGCCTGGCCCACCCAAACAATTTGTGCAGTATTTTTAAATTCACTTTTAAATATAACCTAGTACGTAAACTGTGAAGCATGACTATACATTTGTAACCACAGAGGAGCTCATTAACTGGCTAAATTTTCAAAATTTTACTTTCAATGCAGGATTTGCTGGCCACACCCACTAATTACCCCACCTATATTATCTGTGCCGACCCAAAACTTCAATAGATCTGCCCCTAGCAGCAGAAGAGAGGAGGAAGCAATTATGATATATTAGTATGACTTTTTGAAACAAATTGAAGGTATGGCATTGATGATAGTATGATGTAGAGATTTATATGTAAATAGCATTGGTCTTCATGTCAAAAATTATATAATTGTAAGTATTGATCAATTTGGTTACAAAATTTTATTATGTAGTTGGCAAAGGTACTGTAAATGTCAAATCAGATTTATTTCAAATATCATTAGAGGACATTCTTTTGTTTACTACTGGGATGCCATTTGAACCACCACTTGAATTCTCGCATCCACCAGCTATTTCACTTGACATAGTTTCTCCAAATGCAAAATCAAGTACCTGTGTATTTGCCATTATCACATTCAGCAATGGAGGATTTCACATATTGTATGTTTCATAAAATCTGTAATAATGCAGCGTTCGGTAATGTTTAATTTCACAAAACTTTTCATTCTATTTACAGTTTCTTCAATATTTTCAAATTTTAGGGTTTTAGGTGAATCTCGAAAATTAACTGTATCATTATAACATCATTTAATCATTTATTTAACAAAAAATTTTACATCAGACACATTACAGCCATTCATTAAATGTTGTCCAACAATTGATAGTAAATATTTGTATAAGTCTCTTCTAAATGCCTGACATAGCTCCAATGGGTCTATTTGGGTCATTTCGTGATATAAAAAAAGGTTTCTGGTTGCTTAGTTTATGTTTCACAGCAGTTTCTATGTTATCTATTATCACTTCAGTAGGATTGCTGGCTCTTAACTGTTCTAGTTGATACTCTTTTACTTCAAGTGGGTACAATCGCTGTACCGGTCTTTTTTATAACTTGGACTTGTTTCCTGAGAAAGCTCTAATAATAGCCCCATGATTCTGTCCATCATGTCAAGTAATCAATTTCTGTACTCGTCCAAGTTTCCAGAACCCTCTTTTCTTATCTTCATTGTGTATGATAACTACATCACCTACAGAGATAGACTCTCCATGTGGACCGAAACGATGCACTTAACGGAGCTCTATTAAATATTCCACCTTCCAATGTTTCCAAAAGTGATGCATTATCTCTTCCATATGTCTCATTCTCTTAGTCAGCAGCTATGGAGTAACATTATAATCATCTTCATCCTTTTCATGAAGAAGACATTCAGGTAAGTTCAAAAGTCTATGCACAATGAGTAGATGTGATGAAGGTCTGGAGTTAATGATCATCTCCACCTCAATAATAATAGTAGACAGTTCTTCCAGATTCAGTTTTGCTCTGCCAACACTCTTTCTTAACCACCGTTTGACTGGATCAACCGCTCGAATATTGCACCCTACCAAGGGGCCTTCTCCACATTAAACACCCATTTGACTTGAAAATTCTCTAAATATTGATGGACATCAGGATACTTCATGATCTTTCCAATGATCCTTGCTGCTCCTTTGAACGTCTTAGCATTGTCTGAGATCATCCTGTCAGGTAACCCTCTTCTAGCAGCAAACCTTCAAAAACACCTTATAAAGGACTGAACAGACATGTTATTCACAATATCTAAATGAATGGCTCTGGTTGCACAACAAGGAAACAGGCACACCCACACTTTACTCTCACATTCTCTATGCTCTTTAATAAATAATGGCCCAGCAAAATCAACTCCCATACTCAAAAATGGAGGGGCCTCTCTCACTCTAAATGCTGGAAGGGGAGGTGGTACTGGAACACCATAATGTTTCCCTTCTAATCTTTTACACACAATACAATTATGAATGAACTGTTTCACTCTTGCTCTCCCTCTAATTATCCAATACATAGATTGCACTTCTGTTAACTTTTCCGTAATACCATTATGATATTATGATACACTCGCTTGTGGGCTCTATTAATTACTAACTTCGTAAAATAATGCTTGGATGGCAAAACAATCGGATGCTTAGAACTATAAGACAGTTCCGCATTCTTCAATCTGCCTCCACAATGCCAAATATTCTCATTTTCAAATAACTGTTACTGCTTCTTTAGACTCTCAAACTCACTCATACCCACAAATTCTTGTTGACATTTGCAAACCCACATACACTCCGTCTTCAGTTGCCATGGCAACATGCTACTTCCTTCTGTATGTACAAAATTCTTCAAAAAATATCAATAAACTTCAATACAAAACCAGTAACTTTACAAAGCTTCTCAATAATACTGAATCTTCGCGCATCTATAATGCTTCATAAATTTGCCACGTGACACGTGAACAAATAACTCACAGTCTCACTCTCATACTCATTGCCACCACTGAGTACCCGGCTAAAATACTCCAGTGAGTCTATATCCTTCAGCTGGCTATGTCCATAGAACCAAAGAGGATCACTAATTAGCTCTGTAGTAGTCACTCCTCTTTTTGAGAGGTCTGCAGGATTGTCCTTCCCCGGACAATACCACTGTTCCACTGGAACAAGTCTCCTAATCTCCTTCACCCTATTCTCCACAAAAGGCTTCCACTCCTTATTATCTCCAACAATCCAACACAAAGCCACTTGAGAATCTGTATAGCAAATAGCCGGTAGTAACTTCAAATCATTCTTAAGTGCTTCAGAATTACTCTTCATCAATTTAGCAAGCAGCAAAGTTCCCAGTAATTCCAATCTTGGCACTGTCACTTGACTCAAAGGAGCTACTCTAGTCTTTGAAGTTAGAAACATCGTTCTTCCTCCATCAATCTGCAAACGCTGCAGACGCTCGCTTTGATGCATCACTAAAATCACATAGTCTGAACTGACTATTCTCACAATCTCTCAAACACCACCTTGGTACACGAATTACCTCACTTTCTCTCAATATGCATAATACATTACGCCATTGCTGCAACAGATCCCCAGGGATAATATAATTGCAGCAAATTTTGGAACAATGTAATTCTTGAAACAATATCTTTACTTTAATAGTTACTGGAGATACAAACCCAAGTGGGTCAAATATACTACTACCAATGCTAATTATCTCTTTTTTAGTTACACTACTCTCATTCACACTTCTCACTACTTCACTCAATTGAATCCATAACAAACTCATCTTGATTGACATCCCACCGTAATCTCAAAACTCTGCTACCCCCGTGGGGAATCTTTATCTGCTGCTGAAGCAGCGTACAGGCAAATTTTCTAAGATTAAAACCCCCTTTCACTAATATAGTCTTAAACTCTTCATACAACTTTAGAGCTTCACAATAATCACTTGCACCACACAAAACATCATCAACATACATAGAATTAATAAGTTTCGCAACTATAGTTGGCTTGACGTCTGAATACTTCTCAATATGATGCTTTACCGTGGCATTAAGTAAAAACAATGCATGCTATGCCAAACGTGACTCGAGCAAAGAGCAATACTTGTATGATAGGAGAGCTCTTCTCCATATCATCAATCCAAAAAATCTCAAAATGTCTTGTCCTGCTCAGCAACAGCTATCATCAAAAATGCCTCCTCAATATCAGCAATGAAGGCGCATTTGTTCAGTCTGAATCTCAATAAAATGTCCATAATATGCTGATTGAACTTAAGCCCCACATGTAAACATTCATTTAAAGATAATCCAGTAGTCTTCATGGAGGCATCAAATACTACTATGACTTAAGTAGTCTGTTTGTCGTGTCGAATGATCGCGTGATGAGGAAGTTAATTTACACCCTCGCCACAAACCATGTTAGGATTTCCCACAACCTCAGCAATTCCCTTCGCAATTTGCTCTGTAATAACCCTACTATACTGTTCAAACAACGCTGGTTGCTGTCTCAATCCACGCAATAACCCATTTAGTCTTCTAAGACTCAATTGATAGTTGTCTGGCAATAATCTGAAAGTATCTCTCCAAGGTAGAGTCACATGGTAGCTCTCTCCAATAAAAGAAACGAATTGATCATATAATGATTTCTCCTCCTTTGTAATCCCCAAAGACTCAAGTTCCCAAAACTTTTTCAGCTGTTCATTCAACCCAGTTGTCCCTGATATGCTCTGAGCTTCTGTCATCAAAGTGTGAGTTACAAGAGCAGTAGAAGTACCACAGACAGGACCAAACACAATCCAGCCCAATAAAGAATACACAGCAATAGGCCCTTCTCTACCCTTGATAACTTCCCCAGTAATAAAACTCCTGTAAAAATCAATACCCACTAAAGCATTCAAATTAATTGTTTCCCTATCCACTGTTGAATCAGCAAATTCAAGATCTGCTAAAGAGGATAAGCTCTCAGACTGTTCTGTGAAACATTACTGCCAGACAAAGGCTCACAAATTATGGGAACAGCAAGTAGAGACAATTCATGCACAATATTCTCTTTACACTCTATTCGCAACTTCACAACATCTCAACTCTGACAATTACTGTTATTATCAAATGACACAATATGAATATTACGTTTCCCTATAGGTATTAACTCTAAACTAGTGCATGTGCTTTCAGTAATATCAGAGTACTGACTCCCATTGTCAAATGCTACTCTCAGATTCTCACAACATTCACTCTTTTCTAAATTAAAACAATTAGCTGGCGCAGTCTGCAATAATACAGTCCCATGATTATCAACAAATAATGAGGCAGATTTAAGAAAGTTCTGCCTTAGGATTCAACGTTCTCTTGCTGCTTTTAGTACTGCCGCCCGCTTTGCTCTCATTCTCTGATCTAAAACAAATATTGACATGGTGTTTGCCACCACACTTACTACATTTAGTGTGTTGCCTACAGGCCCTGCTCATGTGCCCTCTCCTCAAACAGAAAGCATCTCCCTAGTTCTCTCAAGATTTGCTGCCTGGCTCCAGGATCAGCAATACTCCTACAATTCTCACTAGCATGTGATTGCTTACAGAAACAACAATAAAAATTTCCTGTAAACAAGGTTGCAGCAGTGCCTGGTACTCTTCTTTTACTTCTATTATGCTCAGAGTCAGGCTTTTGTCCCTCTGCTGGAGCTCTCTCTCTAGCCTGTATACAGTTCCTCTCCCAATTCTCTCATTTCATCTAACTTCCAATCTACATATTTCAACTTTCTACTAATAGCTAGGCATAACTCCTGGGGGAGTTTCTTCAAAATTAAAGAAGGCAATAAGCTAATATAAGCTTCTGCTGGCACCCCTAGTGCCTTTAAGGCTCTCAGATGAGTCTCCACTTTATCGTACAAGGCCCATAAAGAATGAGTGTTGCCTTGCCATGTCACGGATTCTATGCTCAAAAGTACCTCCATGTGCTTTGAAATAATGTGCTCTTTATTGCCATACCTCGACTCAAGCAATGCAATCACCTCTCCATAGTTTGCGGCAGTAAGAGCCAATCCTGATATAGTGTGTTTTAGCTCCTTTTAAAACTAAAGATTGCAAATATGTAAACTTCTCAACCTTAGACAAAGCTGCATTCTTGTGGACAGCTACCTCATAATAATCCAAAAAGCAGGCCAATCTGTCACATCTCCATTGAAAATAGGTAAGCTCAACTTAGGCAGTTTTGCCTGTATGGCTAAAGATGTCATAGAAGCAGCTAAAGATGTCATAGAAGCAGCTAAAGATGTCATAGAAGCAGCAGTTTCTACTCCAGTAGTGGCAGCTGGTGCTGGGTTTGCATGAGAATCAATACTTACCATCTGTTCATATATTCTCTGAGTATAAGTATCAGCTTCTTCTATATCCAGTAGGACATCAGCTTTGTCCTGGATTAAAACCAGGATCTCCCCATCTAGATGCTTCAGTGTCCCCAACTTCTCCTCAAGAGCTGGCTCTCCAATAACTCCAGTCCCCAAACAGCTTCCATTTCTGCTATTCTTTTATCAGCCATATTCCTCTAGCCATTTTTTTACAATTAATTTTCTCCTTAGATCAGCCATTAATCACGTGTAGTCGTGTACGCCCACGTATCAAATAATAATTATCGCAATAGAAAATTTATTCACTATTATATCTCTATAATTACTCTTAAGGCTGATAAACATCAAAACTTTAACTACCTCTATCTCCAACTCCCGTCACAAAAAAGCTCCTTTAAGTAACTATCTAAGACTGTCCTCCTGGGTTTCGGCACCAAATGTGAGTATTCTCAATCTCCTAATTTTTCTCAGAGCGTTGAGGCAAGGGCAGTTCGCAATAACTCAATCATAACAGATCTTTCTGTCTTTAAAAAAATCTTTCTTAACAAAAGACTCACAGCAAGAAGTCACACTCACTACTGAGCATGCTCAAAAAATTAAGTTACATGAATAATAGTTAGATTACACCCACATCACTCACTATGATATTAAACTCTCTAGCACTCCCCGTGGGTTAGTATTGATACTTATCAAATGCTAGCCAAAATACAAGTAAAACACCGACACTTGCATCGCTAATAAGTAGTCAGATAATGCATCAAAGAATTTTTTCACTCTCGTAGTTAATCTATAGATTGAGCTAGTAAATAAACATGAGCAAGAACAGCTGCAGATCTTCTAGACTTCCTTGTGGACTAGATAGGTTGAGCAACCTCGGTCACTTCAGTTGAAGGTTGGGAGTCTCTATACTCACTGTCCTCACTGTCCTCCATTGGTAATGATGGTTCAGGTCTGATTGTCTCATCTTGAGGAACAGTACTAGGCTGAAACTGCTCCTCTAGTGTAGCCATCTTGACCAATTATCGGTTCTTTACGGCCCAGGTTGCAAAAACCAGTTTCTTTCAATAACTGAAAATCATCCACCATAATCTCCAACTGTTACTCTTTGCAGATCAGCTTGAGAATTATGATATGAGCATCTCTAAATTCCATCAGATATTTGCTCCTCCATCACTTCTGAAACTTATCCATTACTTGATTAAGTGATTAAGATGCTTCAATCTCTTACTCAGGAGTTGTGGAGTCACTTTGTAATCTCCATCATCTTCATAACACAAAAACTTTCAGGTAGACTCAGAACTCTTCTTTTTGTATGTATATGTGAAGGAGTTATGGCTTCTTCAAACTTTCCTTGTGAGACATACAACAATAGCCTAAAATTGACAATCATTTGTACTCCAGTAACCAAAGTAATTAACTCTTCATGATGCAGTTTTGCCCGTCCAGTTACTTTCTTTAGATATTGCTTCACAGGACAAATCAGGTGTTCAAAAACTGCTCCCCACCAATTCGCTCTCTACAGATTGAAAGTCCAGATCATACAATGATCCGATAGATAATAATCAGTATCAGGATGATTCATGTGCTTCCTTATGATCCTCACAATACTCTTGAAAGTCTTGGCATTATCTGAGACAATTTTTCTTGGTAATTCATATCTTGCAATAAATTTCTTAAGACACCTAAAAAAACTCAGACAAATTTTGCACAACATCCAAATGTAAAGCTGTTGTCAACATGTAAACAAACAAATACGCTTTACTCTCAGATTGATGACCACCTTTGACAAATAATAAACAAGCAAAGTCCACACCAGTTTATGTGAATGGTGGCTCCTCCGAAACTCGAATTGAAGGAATGGGTGGTGGTATAGGACCTCCATATGACCTCTCTTCAGCCTTTCGACACAATGCAACGGCGATATTCTAACTGCTGCTTTTCCTCTGAGGATCCAGTATCTTGATCTCGCTTCAGTTAATGTCTCCTTGGCACAGTTATGATAGACTCTCATGAGCTCTACAAATAAGTTCTGAAAATATTTCTTCTCATGTAAAATGATTGGATGCTTTGTATGACTTGGTAGAGCAGCATTCTTTAGACGTCCTTGATTCCTCCAAATTCCACTGGA